GGAAAAAACCCCCAAAAAACAAAAAAAAATTATTAAACTTTTTTTTTTTTTTTTTTTTGTCATTCAGAATCTATTTTTAAGCAACAGTCTTTATCCTGTGGACTTTCGTGTGCATCTGAAGTGCAAATTTCTAGTCTGCTGATAGATAATGTCAGATAATATTATGTGTGTGTGTGTGTGTGTAATCTTTTGCAATAAAAATAGTCTAATGTGCAATTGAATAATTTCTTAATTCTGAAGCACTATGTTAATTTTATTTTACAGAGACATGAGAGAGAGCATTAAAGGCAACACCGAATCTGACCAGAATAAAGATTAACATACACATCTCAACAGATTATTGTCATAATTCACATGCAATCTATGTGTGATACATAATATATTTTATATAATTTGAAAAGTAAATTAAAAATAACAGATATTTAACCATTGCTTCCTTTGTTATTGTTTACATTTTTAGCATCGGTTTGAATTCTTCTGCCTCTTTCTCTCCTTGTTGAATGAGATTAATGGTTCAGTGAATTCATCCAATGAAATGCTCACTCACAGCCTATTCCGCTGTTTGTTCATCAGTCTTTAAAGATGGAAAAGCCACCAAATGAGTCAGAAGAGCACCAAGAGAGAGTTCAGTTCAGTTCAGTTTTATTTATATAGCACATTTAAAAACAACCATGGTTGACCAAAGTGCTTAACAATGTCCGGAAAAATGTGCACACAAACAAGACAAATACAGTAAAAAAAAAACAAAAAAAAAACATCACAATGTCTCAGCTCAGCTCGAAATAAAAGCCAAGGAATACAGGTGTGTCTTAAGTAATGACTTAAAAATTCCAACAGTCTGAGCAGTGCTTATGTGTACAGATAAACTATTCCACAAATTAGGTGCCACCACTGAAAAAGCTCAGTCACCTTTATATTTTAACTGAACTGAACTGTTTCAACTGTCCCTCAGTTCCAACTGTACATAGTGACGAAAATGAATGAAATGAAAAAAATTGAGTCCATGTGTGGAAATGAACAAGAAAGGAATATTCTGTTAAAAGATTCATTCAACAACACTAGGTGGCACTGTAGACCAATTTACAACAGAAATGAACAAGTGTATCCGATTGCGTCCCGCAGCAGCTACAAACCAAGCCCCTCCAAGAACAGCCAAAGTATTTGTGATTTCATGTGGTTTCATCTTATGTCTTACCCCTGAGAGCACACGGACATCACTGAGACATCTATTTGATGTCTGCATTACATCTGCAAGACATATTTTTTTAGAGTGTTTGCTCATCTGCAATACGTCTATAAGACGTTTCCTATCAGATGTCAAATAGACGTTTAGAAGATGTCTTTAAGATGTTTACGATTTAGAATGCATGTAAAACTGACTTCTTAAAGACGTCTGTCAGATGTTTGTACACAGCAGATGCTTTAAAGCGATCTTTAACAGAACATCTTGCAGAAGGCGTGCTATCTGGGGCCTTTCATTCGTCAAGCTTTTGAACGTTTGAAGAATGAGAGGTAAGATGTAAGCAGCTGAACACGGTGAGGCTGAAAATCCGGAATTATTTGCCAACTGTTTATGATAAAAATGTTCAACGACCAACAGGTACGCAAACTATTGCTCACCTTTGGCAAATTTATCCGATGTGAATGTATAGCCACACAATGTAATTGCTAATTGTGTGTGTATCGAACAAAAGACAAAGAAGTTTCCGCATATCAGGCATAAGATAAAAAGTGAATGTTTGCATATTGTGAACGTAACGTGGCTTTCTTGGTATACTTTCAGTAATTTAACTTGTCTAAGAAAGTGAAACTTATGGCTTTCACTCAAGAGTGTGTCATGAACTGCCACCATTTTATTTTGGCTTTGTCCTTTACAAGTGCTTAAACAAAGAGCAGCCATTCATCTTAAAAAGGATAACTCTGACATAATTTATTCACCCTTACAGGCAAAGTTGTTTTTTTTCTTCCCCCCATTAAACAAGAACTTTTACATTCCATAAAATGACAGGAGATAGTCAAGCTCCAAAATAAACAACATTAGAAAGGCACCATACAGAGAATCCATATGACTTCTGCACTACATTTCAAGGTTTCTGATGCCATATGAGAGTGTGTCATATGTGGACTGATTTTAAGGTATGCTATAGTTCAACTTGTTCAGCTTTTACCTGTATGTGAAAGAGCTGTGTACAATTTCTTCAAAATTTTGTTTGCCATGTACACCAGAAAAAACTAGACAAATTATAACTTATAGAAGTGTGTCAGTCATTTATTAATGTTAATATTAAGCACAAAAAATAAATTTATTTCAATAAAAATGTTAAATGTAATTTATGTTTCTATATTGTGTTATATTTTTTAAGTAATTAAGTATGTGGTGTTAAAAATAGCTATGCACATGTTTTGTTTACTGGGTAATGGTGGCAGAAAGTCTAGGAGCTCTTTTAAATCTGAAAGTCAGAATTAAGAAGTCACAGAAGGGGATATGAGCAGTAATGTCAGAGTTTTTATTTGGGTTAACATTTTTTCCACTTAAAATTCCACAAGACATGGTTCAAATGTTTATTTGCAAAACAAGTGCATTTATAAAATACAAAAACAGAAAAATAGCAAGGTTTAAAGGGATGCCCATTTTCCACAAGTTGATATGATTCTTTAGGGACTTAATGAAAAGTCTATAACATACTTTGGTTATAATTTCTCAATGGTAGTGCAAAAAACTTCCTTTTTACCCTGTCAAAATCAGCTCTGTTTTTAGCACGTCTTTCTAGTCCATGTTGCTTTAAATGCTAATGAGCTATGCTGACCCTGCCCCTCTCTTCCGTGGGGTGACGAGCAGATTGTAAACTGCAGCCGCGAAACTGGCTAACTAGCACATTATTAGGAAAGGCAATTTGAAAAGATTCACAAAAAAACCCTTATACTCACTTCTTCCAATCGCTTAATCTGAGACATTCTTGTCTTCCCCTGCACCGGAGTCGACACAATGGCGGACAGCTCTCAGCTCACTCAGGGCGGGGCTTAAGGTAAGACGGCCTTGTTAATCAACAATCGTGGGAGGGGCTTGTGCAGAACTACGTCATTCTGACAGGAACCTCAGAACAGCCTGATTTGAGAAAGGGGATTTTAAAATAGGGATTTAAAAAAAAACTACTGGGTGGATTTTTACCATTATAGGGTGGATGTGTGCACACACTTCCAACATACATTTGCATGTTCAAACAACATGCAAAGTGAATTTTGCATCCGATGACCGCTTTAACAAACAATGGTAAAAAAAAAAAAGACAATTTCAGTCGCTGTGCCTTCAACTAACCTGAGAAGAAATGCCATTTTGCAACTGTTTGTTGAACATTTTGTTAATACCGTCTTTTGCATCTTTAATTTCATTCAGAGTCTTCTGAAACTGAGCAGCTGTTTCTCTCATCTGATGAATAAATTTCAGAGTTTCTGATTTGATGTCCTCCGCTTTTCTCTCGTCTGCTGGTTGTTTCATTTCAGAGATCTCTGTGAAATCTTGAACAATGCCAACAACATCAAGAGCAAGAAACAGAGCAGAGAGCGCGCCAGTGATCGCCACTGCCATATGAACCGTTTTTGCAGCCGCATGGAAAGCTTTAGCAGCCTCTGCACACGCTTTCCCATCTGAGCCACTTCAGCTACATATGCGATCTTTAATAAATGAGCAGCACCTCTCACTGCTTCTGCACCTTCCTGCTGCTTGAACATCTGCTTCTCCAGCTGTTCGATCGCTTCTGTGCTGTTAGATATTGCACTCAGAAGCTGAATCATTGGGTTGATTGTGTTCTGGAAATCATTGATGATCTTCTCAATTGTCTGTCGTAGGTTTTTCTGCTTGATCATGTTAGTGATGCTGAATGTTGCACCTGTCGCTCCTCCAGCTACTCCAGCAGCAACACCAACAGCAGTAAGAGCCAAAGAAGCACCGAATGTGAACGGCGATAAAGCCAGACCTGCTAGTGTTGTGACTCCTCCAGCTGCTCCCATTACTGTTCCTGCTAAACTGCCCATCGTAGTGTTCTTGTGCACAGATGCAAGTTCATCAGTGATGGCATTCAGTTCCTTTATTTGACTAATGAGAGTTTGATCATTTCTCTCGAATTCTGAGTTCAGTTCCTCAATGCTTCTTTTCAGTTCATAAAAAGTTTCGGTTTTCCTGCAATATCAAACTTTTTTTTTTTTTTTCAGGATTACAGAGCATTTGAAATTTATTTTGTGCACTTTATGGCCTCACTAGAGAACATGTTCTGTTTAAGTACATTGTATGAGTATTAAACTAATTATTTGTAATGCTGCAACTTAAAAACTTGTTGTGTTTGCAATAACATCAATGAGCTGACCGTAAAATCTTTCAGCAAGGAATGCTTACCATTGAACAATCTCCTCTGGTTGATTCCCATCACCTGCATTTTAAAATATTTCAGTCAATTATTATATTATATTTGACACTAAGCTGTGATTTCTGAGAGTCACTTGTTGTTTTCAGTGAACACAACATTAATGAGGCTGAAAAATTTATAATGTAATTTACTGGCTCACCGTTGAATGAAGGACGTTTTTTAATAATCTGATCTGAAGCTTTGTTTTCGTCACTGGAGTTTCTGTGATGGTGATCCATCTTTAGGAGAAGCTGAGTTTAATTCGCTCCTTAATAATATTCAACAACTCATTAACAAGTTATTACAAAACTAAATTAGAATTTTATGAATTGAACTGAATGTTTTGATGCCTTGTTAACATGAATGAGTTTGAGGCCAAAACACATGCTTGCTATTTTATCAGTTACAGTGAGTAATTCAGAAACCATAGTATTCACTTTTCTACAAACTTTTGTTAATGCACTGTACTGTTATTTAAAACTTACACTAAGGAAAAACACTACAATTAATGTAGCAAGAAGTAACAAAGCCGTGAGAGGTCCTGCATTATTTTTCTGTCTTGTTTTTTCATGATCATGACTTCATAGAGTAAAAAAACACTGTATGTTGCTTAACGTTTCTCTGGTCGCCTGAAAACAGCAGGTGTTTTATAGCTTTTATTTTGATCATAGCAAAAACATGATTATAATGACAAAGCTGTTTAAGCAAAGCAGTCAGAAGACTTGATTTGCTCACTTCACTTCCATCAGTTGAATTGTTGAATCATTCAGTTTAAGTATGTATGTTGCAGTTCCTTAATAACTCAATGTTTGCTCTCATTTGTCTCCTGTTGAGCTTCAGCCCTAAATGAAAGTGAAAGGCTTCTGTTTTGAAGGCTGAATAATATATTTCAGTATGAACCTTTGTCGTTTTATTGTTTATGATTGTTTTAATGATTATATAGGTGTGTGTGTATATAATGATGACATAAAGCTTATATTTGCGTGAACTATTAATTCAATGGATACAACACACAATCAGTTGTGTAGAATATACTTTTGCGCTCTGATAATTAACATATGTTTTTCTGTCCTCAGGCATAGAGAATTTTTCACTATAAGGCTCATCACTGGTCAGTAACATGCACTTCATCAAATTAGTATAAAGATTATATATATATTTTTTTTAATCTAAATAACGTCTTCATGGCCAATTAAAAATGTCACTCACATTGGAGCAGTTGTAATGGCTTTTGGTTTTGCTTATTGGTGTTTATTCTTTAATTATGATACTGTCTAGTGTCTTTTGTAACATCAAGTCAGGTCACTTCAGTTTTTTTTTTTACTTGTATAGCTCTATGAGACAGTAGCATTCAGTTTAGTTTAGTATCATATCGTTTAATGACTCTTTGAACCTGACATGGCTTATTCTGTTAATGATTATGTGAATGGGTGATAATTGGCTTCTGTATTCAGCCACCTGCACTTTGCTTAATGTTGGACAGCATTTAGTTTTTCAAATAGCGCTTTTAATGATAGTTAAAATATTAAATTGCAATATTTAGGGCTGCACGATATATCGAAATATCGCAAATGTACATATCGTGATATATCAAAAATGGCATGCAATATCAGAATTATTTTAAAAATAGGCTACTTCAAAAAGTTTTAGGATGACGCATATACCACAGAATAGACACGCCACTGTTACTTATGTGACTTGTTTGACTTTAAAAATAGTTATTAAGTGCAGTAAGAGGCAGAAAACAACTCCATGCTGTCTGATACACACCTGAAGCCTCCTCTTGGACAGCGTGTGATCCCTTCAACTTTTCTTTCACATAGTTATGTCCAAATGCCTGTCTTGACGAGTATTCATGTAAACACAGTCAGTTACATCTTAAGAGAATGTGAACAGTTGGGAAAGCAATCGGATTTGGAGCAATAGGATCCCAGCAGCCTAATACAGTAAACCTGCAGCTGTCGGTCAAACAACAAAAGAACAAGAGAAAATCACTCACTGCTCTTGACTGAATAACCTTATAGCTTTATTATGAACCAATGAATATTTAATTAATGTGAAGACTAAGCAGTGTTTGAGTTTTACATTTGATTATTCAGTTTCTGTATTGTTTCTTAAAGGGGTCATAGGATGCCCATTTTCCACAGGTTGATATGATTCTTTAGGGTCTTAATGAAAAGTCTGTAACATAGTTTGGTTAAAATTTCTCAATGGTAGTGTAAAAAACACATTTTTACCCTGTCAAAAACAGCTCTTTTCAGAGCAAGTTGTTTTGTAGCATTTCCCTTTAAATGTTAATGAGCTCTGCTGACCTCGCCCCTCTCTTTCGAGCTGCCTAGTCATCGTGA